TGAGGATGAGGATGATGGTGATGATGATGATGGTGGTGGTGGTGATGATGATGAGGATGAGGATGAGGATGAGGATGAGGGATGAGGATGAGGATGGGGTTGGTAGGATGAGGATGAGGATGATGATGATGGTGATGATGATCATGATGATGATGGTGGTGGTGATGATGATGAGGATGAGGATGAGGGATGAGGATGAGGATGATGATGAGGATGAGTTTGAGGTTGAGGATGAGGATGAGGATGAGGATGAGGATGACGATGAGGATTGTGGTGGTGATGATGATGCTGATGATGATGATGCTGCTGATGATGAGGATGAGGATCTGGATGAGGATGAGGATGAGGATGAGGATGAGGATAGGTTTGAGGATGAGGATGAGGATGAGGATCAGGATGAGGATGAGGATCCCCGGTGGTTTCTGGTGTGCATGATGATGCGTATGCTGTCTGATGATGAGCTTGCTTGATTGATGAGGATGAGGATTTGAGATGGAAGGATGAGGATGCTGATGGAGGTGGTGATGATGATGAATGATGATTATGATGGTTGGTGGTGATGAGGTTGAGGATGCGGTCTGGATGAGGGATGAGGATGAGGATGAGGATGAGGACGAAGATGATGCCATGAGGATGAGTTTTGATGGATGGATTTTGGGGAATGAGTTTGAGGATGATGATGAGGTTGATAATGAGGATGAGGATGAGGATGATGAATAGGATGAGGATGAGGATGACGATGATGGTGATGATGATGATGATGATGAGGATGGTGGTGGTGATGATGAGGATGAGGATGAGGATGCTGATGAGGATGAGGACGAGGATGAGGATGAGGATGAGTTTTAGGATGAGGATGATGTTGCTGATGCTGATGCTGATGCTGATGATGTTGATGATGACGCTGATGATGATGATGATGCTGATGATGATGATGATGGTGGTGGTGATGAGGATGAGGATGAGGATGAGGATGATGATGAGGATGAGGATGAGGATGATGATGAGGATGAGGATGATGATGACAATGAGGATGAGGATGAGGATGAGGATGGTGGTGGTGGTGGTGATGATGCTGATGATGATGATAATGATGAGGATGAGGATGAGGATGATGATGATGGTGGTGGTTGTGATGAGGATGAGGATGACAATGAGAATGAGGATGAGGATGAGGATGGTGGTGGTGATGATGATTATGATGATGATAATGGTGGTGGTGATGATGATGATGATGATGATGGTGGTGGTTGTGATGATGAGGTATGAGGAGGAGGATGAGGATGAGGATGACACTGGATGAGGAATGAGGCCATGAGGATTGTGGTTTGGTGTGATGATGATTGCTGATGTTGACCGATGATGAGGTGATGGTGGTGGTGTTGATGATGATGGTGGTTATGGGATGAGGATGAGGATGAGGATGAGGATGAGGATGAGGTGGATGAAGGAATGAGGTATTGAGGATGATGAGATTGAGGATGAGGGATGAGGATGAGGATGAGGATGAGGATGAGGGATGAGGATGAGGATGAGGATGATGATGATGATGATGATGATGATGATGATGATGATGATGATGATGATGATGATGATGATGATGATGATCTCGGCTCTTTCCCGGTCTCGGCTTCCGGGGCCCGTGATCGGGCCCCGGGGCTGTCACACATGTGGCCCCAGGGCCGATGAACTGGCCCCCCGTGGAAGTGGCTGGGACTTGAAGGGCCGCGCAGCAGAAACGTAGCACAGTCGGATGTCTGGCGGCGGGGCTGGGGCAGGAGGGGCAGAGGGAGGAGCAGGAGGAGGCAGGGGCTGGAGCAGGAGGGGCTGCTGCTGCTCCTCCTCCTCCTCCTCCTCCTCCTCCTCCTCCTCCTCCTCCTCCTCCTCTGTCCTCCTCCTCTGTCCTCCTCACTCCTCCTCACTCCTCCCCGCCACCATTCTCGTCGCCGTGGCCCTCCTCATCACTCCCCGCTCTTCTCCATCACCCTCCTCTCTCCTCGATCCGCCATCAGGCGTTTGCACCCTCCCTCCCCATTATCCCTCCTCTTCCTGCTCCCTTCTCCTCCTACTACTCCTCCTCCTCCCCCCTCCTCCATGCCCCCGGGCGGGCAGCCGGTTGGTGTGGGCGGCACCTCCCGGAGTCCGGGGGAACTGAAAACCGCTTAGTCGTGGCCTGTATGGGGGCTGCGCCACTGCCGTGGGTGGGTGGGTGGTTTCGGCAGTGGGGGCACCGACCCCGGTCTTCTGGCCTAAACGGTAATCCCGTTTCGGCTACGGCCGATTCGGGTCCCCTCCACTGTCTTGGCCCGGCGACTCCCCGGTCGCGCCAGGGTGTGGAGGGGGGGTCTGGCTTCGGCCAGGCTCATGGGGAGTCCTGCTCTGTCCCCCCCTGGGCAAGGGGACTGGGGGAGCAGGCCAGGGCACCCGCCCCGAGACTCGCACCAGGTGCCCCGCCTGGTGGCGAGGGGTGTCCTGTGTCCCCGGCCAGTGCCTGGAGTGCCTGGCGGGTGGCAGGGGGGCCCCCTCCCCTCGGGGGGGGGGCGGTCCTGGAGGCGTTGGACGTGCACGTGCACCTCTGAGTCGTCCCCTCCCCTCCTAGGCCGTTTGAGGTTTGGAGCGGCCGAGGTGCACTGGGCATCTCCCAACGCACTGCATATGCCCTGGCCGTGTTTTTTATATTATTTTTGTTTTATGTGTTTCTCCTTTCTTTTTGGAACTCGCTTCGCGGCTGGTCTTATCATATCTTATCTTATCTTATCTTATCTTATCTGATATTATCTTTTCTTATCTTATCTTACCTCCCCCTCCTCCATCCGGCCTTGACCCCCCGATCCGCACCCATGGCCGCGCGCGCGCGGAAGCGGGTGCGGGGGAGGCAGGCAGGGCGCAGGATGCAGGGAAGGTGCTGGGAGGCGGAAGGAGGGGGAGCGATGGAGAAAAAGGAGGCCGACGAGGAGGAGGAGGAGGATCAAGGAAACGTAAACGTGCATTCAAGGCGCGTGGATAGGTGGCGGGTCCCGCTGCCTTACGCACCCGGCGCGATCCGTCGCCAAACGAGGCGGCACGGGCCTCATCTCTTGCAGATGCTTTCCCCGATCCGCGGATTTGGCGCCCGCGCGACAGATGCACGGATCCCTGATCCACGCTGGCGCGCGCCCGAGATGGTGAGGATGAGGAGGAGGGCCAGCGTGAACCCGAGACGCATCAGCGATGTTGGAACTAAGCCTCCCTCCGAGCTCCCTCTTTATAGGCCCCTATGCGGATTTATTTCGACTGGGGGGAGTTCCGCGTTGGGAGACAGCCGTTTGAAGATCCTGAATCGTGCCCGAACACCGTTCTCGGAACTCCAACGCTTCGGATCAACTTGATTACCTCGCCTTGACCATCCTGAATCGTGCCAGAACGCCATTCCTGGGACGTCAACATTGCGAATCAACCTAACTTCGGCAATCCTGAATCGCTCCAACACACAATTTTGGGTACATTATCCATATGAATCCGTGAAACTCTTGTAATTGTTGACGCTTCGTGTATCCCCACCAGCAGCAGCTGCCTGGTGAGCGGGCCCGGCCGGCCTGCGGCGCTTCCAGTAGCTAATTCGGCTGTTACTGCGCCCCGGAACGCTTCTGACTCCGCCTGCGCCTTCGCTTGCGGACGCGACCGAAAAAATACCCCCACCTGCCCATCCAGAAACGATGCCCAGGGGAGTTGAGGTGATCAGCGATGTGGGGGAGCATGCAGAAGAACAACGGGTTGGGAAAACCGTCCGATACACCCAAAAGGGGGAGGATGGTGGAGGAGAAGGAGGAGGAGGAGGAGGAGGAGGAGGAGGAGGAGGAGGAGGAGGAGGAGGAGGAGGACGGAGGAAGAGACAGTGGACAAGGAGGAGGGGGAGGAGGAGCAGGAGAAGGAGCGTCTTGGCGAGCTCAGGGGTTTGTTTGGGCGTCTTGGCTGCATCGGAGATCCTTTTGAGGCCTCTTCGGGGCCTCTTGGGAGCCTCTTGAAGGCCTCTTGGGCGCCTCTTGGGGCTGCCTGGGCGACTCTTGGGGCCCTCTTGGGGCGCTCTTGGGAGCTTCAGGGGCACTCTTGGGGCCATCTTGGAGTACATCGATCAGAAAGTAGGATAAAGTAGGGGGTCCAATCCCCCCCCCCCTTGGGAGCCCCAAAAGTGGCCTCTTGGGGCGCTCTTGGGCGCTCTTGAAGCCGTCTTGGGGCTCTCTGGGGCCCCTCTTGGGGCCATCTTGAGGCCTCGGAAGGCCATCGAAAGCGAAAAGGCGAAAAAGCAAACATCATTGGTTCTCTTTCAAGGTTTTTGAAGGATGTTGGCCTCTTGGCGGCCTCCCGGGGGCGCCCCGTGGCATCTCGGAGCCGTCTTGGAGCGGTCTCGGGGCCTCTTGGAGCATTTTGGGAGCCATCTTTGTTTGTGGGGACCACGTGAATGCTCTTGAATAGCTCGACCTGTCGCGATTTGTAAAAGTACAGTCGTCTAAAAACATCGGGTTTTTGCTAATCGCGCCCGGCCTTTGCGCGATTAGCAAAAACCCGATGGTTTTTTGCCCTTGCAGCCTGTCCATCCTTAGTGCACATTTGCGATGGCGATCGTCCTCTGCCATCCTGGCTTCAAGCTTTCAGGCGCCGAGGGCCTGGCGCCACCTGGGATGGTGGCGAGCCTCTGCGCGGCCGTGTCGGCGGCGGCTCCCGGCGTGCTGCGGGAGCTGGCGCGCGGGGCGGTGGCCGAGGCGGCGCGGGTGGCGTTCGCGGGGCCGCAGGCGTGTCCGCCGTGCCCCGACTGCCACCCGGCGCCCTGCCCGGCCTGCCGAGCTGCCCGCCGGCCCCACCTGGCCCGGCGCGCGTGTGCGCCGAGCCCGCGCCGCCCCCAGTGTTGGCGGCGGCCGCGTGCGAGGCGGAGGAGCGCCCGGAGTGGTGGCTGCTCTGGCTGGTGGCGCTGGTGGTGGCGTTTTTCGTCGGCCGCTGGAGCGCGGCGTCGGAGGCCCCACGAGGCGGCGCCCTTCGCCAACATGTCGACGCGCGACGAGAGGCGCCCGGGGGCGCGGCTGCTGGTGCGGTTCGTCGGAGATGAGTGGACCCATGAGCGGGTGCTGCTCTGGCCGGTCCATCTGGACCGCAGGCACGAGTGCTGGGTCATCGAGAGCGCGGACGGCGACCGCTACGTGGAGCGTCGGGCCGACTGGGTCTGGCACGTGTCGCTGCTCCACGGCTGGCCCGAGAATTTCAGGGGCAACGTGGTCAGTTTCCGCGACGAGATCGACCGCGAGACGCTGCGGAAGATGGTGCTGGAGGGCCGCGAACTGGCGCGCGAGGAGCGGCGCCGACGTCGCCTCCCGTCCGCGCTGGGGGCCCATTTGGGCGAGGAGCCGACGAGCATGCGGACTGGCACGGCGACGAGTGCGGCCTGGACATCGGCGTGCTGGAGGCCGCGCGGCGGCGCCTGCGGGGCAAGCGGCCTTTGGCCACGGGCGCTCGGGTCCCCGAGTCACCCGGGGACGAGGCTGCTAGCCGGCCCGTCCTAGCGCCCCCGCCGCTGGAAGGTGAGGAGTCGGTGCTGCTGGTGGCGGAGGTGCAGGCAGGCGGCGGTTTCCGGTTGGGCGACGAGGTGGCGCCGGACCCCGAGGACGTCCAGGCGGGGCCGAAGGTGATCGCGCGGCGGCCCGACGGCCGGCCGGTGCTTTGCGAGCGGGCGCCGGTCTCCGAGGTCGAGGGGTGGCGGGCCCAGGCATTTGACAACGCCGGGCGGATGGCCGCTCCCTTGCCGGCCCCGTTGGCCCCGCCGCCAGCCGAGGAGGCCGGACGGCCCAGCCCCTTTGACCTCCGCGAGGCGCTGGCCGACCGGCCGCGCGAGGAGGTGGGTGGCACCCCCACGCCGCGTGAGGAGACAGCGGGGCCCGCAGCCGACGATGTGCGGACGACCGCGGTGAAGTGGAACGAACAGGGAGTCCGCTTCAAGGAATGGCGCCGAGCGGTGAGAGAGAGAGCATTTCGGAGGCCCTGGACGGGTGCGAGCTGCGCGGGGCCGGCACGGCCCTCCACCTCTGCCATCGGTTCACGCAGCACGGCAGCGACCCCAAGACGTGGATGAACAACTTCTGCCGCGAGTACGGCGTGAGTCAGCGTGACCGGACATGGCACGAGTTGAACTGTCTGGTCACGATCTTCTGGCTGGCCGCGACGTTCGACGCGCTGAACCTAGGCGGGCTGGCGTGTCTGGAGGTGGCGGCCCGCCGAGTGGCCCAGATCAGCGAGGCCTATCGCGTGGCTCCTGGTCAGCCGGCCGCGTGGGAGGCAGGCAGGTTCCTGGCGGGGACGAGTGACCCCTTCGACGTGGCGTCGCCCGAGCTCCGCAACTTCGCGAATCGGGCGGCTCGCGACGAGTCCGAGCGGCTCGCTGCCCTGGGACGCAGTCGAGCGTTGGGGCTTGGCAGCCGCGGAGCTGGCGGTGCCGACGAGGTGGCGGGCGCGCTGGAGACAGGCGGCCTGCCCCGCGCTGGGGCAGATGACGGCGGCGAGGGCGGTGGCGGTCGCGGTCGCGGGCGGAAGACCAAGCCCGGCGAGTCGACAGCCGCCGCCCAGTCGAAATGACGGGCAAGGGGCCGGGGGTGAGGCCGCCCCCCGGCCTTGAAGCAGAGGCCACGCGCGGCGGCCAGGTCTACCCTGTCCCAGGGCTGCGCGAGCTGGACGCCGACGTCGCTTCCCGCCTTGGACGTCGCGATCGGCCACGAGTTCGGCGGCTGGCGAACGAGGGCTTGTCCAGCCTAAATTGGATGCATGGCGCTGATCGGCGGCCGCCCCCGGCGGCGCCCAGCTGGGCCACGCGCTGCCGCGTGGCGGAGCTGCAGCATGAGACGCAGCGACGGGCCCAACTCCTGGCGGCGAGCTGGGGCGGCCCGGACAGCGCGGAGGATTCGCAGCAGTGCTTGGCGCGCCTGCTGCGGGGCCGAGGCGGCCACGCCCAGCTGGCCCACGCGACGCTGACCCCCTTCGCCCACGCCCGGCTGTCAATCCTGGGCGACCTTGCTGGGTTGCCGAGAGTTTTGAGTCTTCTGCCGGAGGCGGCGCGGATCCAGTTGAAGGATTTCGAGAGCTACATGATGCGTTCACCCCAGGAGGTGGACGAAAATTATGCACGCTGCAGTCCAGTTCGACCCTATATGGACCCCGTCCTGAAGCACAAGCGGCCCGCCTACATCGGTCTGGTGAAACGCTTGCTGAAGGTCGGCCCGGTGAGGATGTCGACCACATGCCGATGCCAGGTCGGGCTCCTCTTCGTCAAGAAGAAGGGCGACCGTCAACGATTGATCTTGGACTGTCGCCCAGCGAAACCGCCTCTTCAAGAGCCCGCCAGGCGTGGACCTCGTCAGCGGGGACGGCCTCAGCCGCGTCGAGCGGGAGTGGCCGCCGGGCGACGGCGAGTCGGGGGAGGCCAACGCGGCGCTGGCGGGCCTCGACACCTGGCTCGGAGTCAGCGACGCGAAGGACTGCTTCCACCGGCTGCTGCTGGAGGACGGCCCGGGCCTGCAGGAGCACTTCGGGCGCCCTCCCCTGCGGGCCGCCGACCTTCGGCTGACGGAGCTGGACGGCGCTCGGCTGGCGCCGAGCACGCTGGCCCACCCGCTTGCGCGGGCGCTGCCGATGGACTGGGCCTGGTCGCTGTTCTTCGCGCAGTCGGCCAACTCGTACCGCATGCTGAAGGTGCCCTCCTTGCAGGGCGCGCTCGTCGTGACTGGCCGCGGGCCTCCCCTCATCCTGGATCGCCCGAGCTCCATGGGCCACTACACCTACGTGGACAACATGGGGGTGCTGGGCACGACCGAGGGCGCGGTCCGCCGGGGCCTTGCGGGGGCCATCTCGTCCTTCGGCGGGGTCGGCCTCGAGGTCCATGAGACCGCCGTGACGATTGAGGGTGGCGAGGCCTTGGGCGTGCAGCTCGATGGCCGCGCTGGGTGCACCCGCCCTACGCCGGCTCGGTTCTGGCGGATCCGCGGGGCGGTGCAGGCCCTGCTGCGCCGCCGGGCTGTCAGCGGGCTCGAGCTGGAGATCGTGGTGGGCCACCTCACCTTCGTGGGCCTGGTGCGGCGCGAGAGCCTCAGCTGTTTCCATTGCATCTACCGCTTCATCCAGCGGCGCTACTTCGAGCGTGTTGGGCTGTGGCCCAGTGTGGCTGAGGAGCTGCGCGCCTTCCTTGGTCTGATGATTTTTTTGCAAGCTGACTGGGGCGCCCGGTGGCTGCCGGGCGTCTATCAGTCGGACGCCTCCCTCAATGGCTTCGGGCTGGCCTACTCGGTGCGGGACCCGAAGGGCACGGGGCGCGTGGGCCGCGTGACAGAGCGGTCGCGCCACCGCCTGGGTGCCGAGGCGGCGCGGCAACGCGCCGTGGAGGCCGCGGGGCTGCAGGTGCTGGCCGACGGGGCCGTCGACCCGCCCGAGGCCTGGCCGCCAGGCATCCCCGAGGAGGAGGTAGCGCGCTGGAGTGTCGACCCCGACTTCGAGGAGGTGCCCGCGGAATTGCTGCACCGCGATCGCTGGCGGACGGTTTTGGCCGATCGCGGGGCCTTCGACGAGGGGATCGTGCACCTCGAGGGCCGGGCTGCGGTGAAGGCCGTGGAGCGCGCGGCCGGCTCGCGCGCAGGGCGGGGCGGCCGGGTCCTTCTGCTGGGGGACAACATGGCCGTGACCCTCGCCTTTTCGCGCTCGCGGGCCCGCGACTTCAAGCTGCCGACGATGATTCGGCGGACGGCCGCGTGTGCCTCCGCGCGCGGCCTGCGGTTCAGTTATAGGTGGATCCCTTCGGAGTTCAACAGCAGCGATGAGGGGGGCAGATTGTTTGCGAGAGAATATGAAGCTAAAAAATGCGTCACTCACCTCCTGCCGAAAGCGCCGAGTGCCTCGCAAGCTGGACGGCCGAGAGCCGGGACCACCCTCGAGCTTGGACATATTCCGGAGCCGTCTGAGCTCAATGCAGCGGCTCGCCAAGCCGCCGCTCCCGCCTCCCCGCGGGCCGCCGCCTCAGCCAGGGATTCGGCCGCCGAGCCGGGCGGCGCGGGCGAGGGTGCTGACGCGGGGTCTGCTGGCACAGGGCCCCGCGCCGAGCCAGCCAGCGGCGCAGGGGGCGCAGACGGGGCCGCCAGGGCTGCCGCCGGGCTGCGCGAGGGGCCGCCGGGCGGCCTCGCGGAGCCGCAGCCCGCGCCGAGCGCGGAGGCTGAGCCGGGAGGCCTGCAGTGGATTGGCGAAGCGCGCGAGCGCGGGGCCGGTGCCCCGGCCGTCCGGCCTGGAGCAGGCGCCCGCAGACAGAGTGGGGCCGCGCGGCGGCCAACCTCTTCCGCGACGCCAAGGCCGCGGCCGCGACCGCCGCTGCCGCCGAGGGCGACAGCGAGAGCAGCTGCGAGGAGGAGCTGCCAAGCCGGGGGTCGGCGCAGGCCGATGCCCGCCGCGCCGCGGCGCGGGCGCGGCGCATGGCCTTCGAGGAGCTGCCGCCGGGCCTGACTTACTTGGAGGCCCACAGCGCGAAGGCGGCCACGCGGGCTCGGTACCAGACGCACGTCGGCAAGCTGGTGGCCTACGCGGACAAGATCTCGGCCCCCCTCGGCGCGGATGCCGAGGTCGACGATTGCATCGCGCGCTGGATAAACGACGAGTTCCGCGCGGGCCGCCGGGCCTGGCGCGGCGAGAGCATGCTGGCGTCGGCGATGTTCGTGTTCCCGGCCTTCAGCCGCAACGGATGGAGGAAGCCCCCCCGGGCTTTCCGCTGCCTGAAAGGCTGGCGGGCCCTCGGCCCGCCCATGGGCCGGAGGCCGCTGCCGTGGCCCATGTGGGCCGCCCTGGCGCTGCAGCTGATGCGCATGGGGTTCGGGCTCGCCGCGGTCGCGGTCCTCGTGATGGTGGAGGCCTACCTGCGGCCGTCGGAGCTCCTGTCGCTCCAGCGCCGGTCGCTCCTGCCTCCGGCCCGCGGCGGGCTGACCAGGTGGGGCCTTCTCCTTTTCCCCGGCCGCGCGGACGTGGCGAGGAGCAAGACAGGGGAGGCGGACGACACGGTGGTGATGGACTCGACTCGGACGCCCTGGCTGGACCACGTGTTCGAGCATCTCAGCCAGGGGCCGGGCGAAGAGCGGATCTTTCCTTGGGACTACAGCCAGTTCTACCAGATGTTCGCGCAGGCTGCCTCGGCCCTCGGCTACGCGATGGCGCCGTGCCAGGGCCGCCACAGCGGGATCTCGATCGATCGAGCTCACCGCGAGCGCAGCCAAGATGAGTGCATGAAGAGAGGCCGATGGCGAGCGGCCAAGAGCGTTGCCCGCTACGAGAAGGCGGGCAGGCTCAACGACGCCTGGCGGGAGCTCAGCGCGGAGCAGCAGGCCCACGCCCTCGACTGCGAGCGCCTGCTCGAGGAGTGCGTCGCGCGTGGGCGCCCGCTGCCGGCGCCGGCTCTGCGGTCTTGACGCCTTTCTTCGCCGAGCTGTTCAGCGGCGCTGGCCGAGTGGCCGCGGCGGCGCGGCGCGTCGGGCACTGCTCGCGGGAGTGGGACATCAAGGCCGGCCCCGCGGGCAACGTGCTGCGCCGGTGCGTGGAGGCCGGGCTACGCGCGAGCATCCTCGCTGGCCTGGTGCTGGCCGTGATGCTGGCCCCGCCCTGCACCTCTTTCTCAGTGGTGCAGAATGTCAATGTGCCGCTGCGCAGTAGAGAGTTTCCTCGGGGCTTGCCGGGTCTTCCTGAGGCGCAGCGAGAGAAAGTGAATTTGGGTAATGCGTGCTTGGACTTTTCGCTCCGTGTGATCAGACTTTGCATCAGAATGCGCGACCCCTTCTGTCTCGAGCATCCTCACAGCAGCTACGTCTGGCACGATCCCTCTTTGAAATATTTGTTGGCTCGCGCCAATAGCCGCACTGTCGTTGTGAATCACTGTAGTTTCTGGTCTCCCCATAGAAAGGCCACTAGACTGGTTTTCGGAAGCGCCGATCTCGACCTGGGGTTCCTGGATCACCCAGGCGCGGTCCTCTGCGCATGTCGGCACGGTTTCTGCTTTTTCTCTGGTAAGAAGCACGTAATTTTGGAGGGGCGGAGCGCGCGCGAAGCCGCGGCCTACCCGCCGAAACTTGCTGCCGCCCTGGCTCATGCTTTGTTGTCGCCGATTTGGACTGAAAGGAGCTGGATATGATTCTCGTCCTTTTTTCGCTGAGGCCTGCCGGCCCCCCGCTCCCCCTGGGCTGTGAACTTCGGCCTGGGTCCTAAAGGTTTGGGGTGTTGAGCAGTCTGTCAATTCGAAGTGTATCGCGAGCTGGCCCCACAGTCGGGCTGGTTCCAGCCCTCAGCAGTAGCAAGGCCCCGGTCCAGTCTCGAAACAGAAACCGTTCGCCGCCAAGAGCAAAAAGAGCATGTTTGTGGGGACCACGTGAATGCTCTTGAATAGCTCGACCTGTCGCGACTTGTAAAGTACAGTCGTCTTAAAAACATCGGATTGTTGCTAATCGCGCCCGGCCTTTGCGCGATTTGCAAACACCCGATGGTTTTTTTCCCTTGCAGCCTGTCCATCCTTAGTGCACATTTGCGATGGCGATCGTCCTCTGCCATCCTGGCTTCAAGCTTCCCTCCCACGCCTCCCTTTGGTCTCAAGACGTTTTTTGTGTTTTTTTTTTTTATTGTCTGTGTTTTATTTGTATTCCATTTTTTTTTTGATTTTTTTTTTTTTTCATTTTCTTTTTTATTTTTTTATATTTTTTTGTTTTTTTATCATTTTTTAATTTTTATTTTTGTTTTATTTTTTCTTTTTTTTTTTCATTTTTGTTTTTTTTTTGATCCTTCCTTTGTTACTCGTCTTTTTCTGGTTCTGGGGGTGTTGAGCAGTCTGTCAATTCGAATTGTATCGCGAGCTGGCCCCACAGTCGGACTGGTTCCAACCCTCAGCAGTAGCAAGGCTCTGGTCCAGTCTCGCAACAAAATCCGTTCGCCGCCAAGAGCAAAAAGAGCAGAGATATTTTGGGATATCTTGAGCCATCTTGGAGCTCATCTTGGGCTCTTCGAGGCGCTCTTGGAGCCATCTTGCGCAATCTTAGACGCCCCGACCCCTCGGGGACCCGGCCGTCCAGGTCCAGGGGAGGGGGTAAGAGGAGGGGTCAAGACACCCTCTCCGCACGCAAGCCGTCGAGCTCACTCCGACCCACCCTCCCGCCGCATAGGTGGCGTCCGAGTCTCGGCATAGCCAGGGGTCGCCACTGGATGGACAGCCACCGGCAACCAAAGCGGACGCCAGGTGCGCGACGCTCGCCGCGGGCTCCACATGCGGTTGGTGTGCCATCCTTGTGAGAAAAAAAACGTGATGCCCCCCCCCGTCCGCATGGTCCAGATGCCGATGTGGGGGGCGTCAGCATTGTTCTTGGCTTGCGCACAGCAAGCATCATCATGCGGGCACCACCGCCGTCCCTGCCAAAAATAACCATACAAAGTGAAAAACACCCTCCAGACAGCCAGCCGTCTAGCTCACTCCCACCCGCCTTCCCAACACATAAGTAACACCCAAGCCTCAGCATGTTCCGCGGCCGTTTTTTTGATGGACAGCTACTGGAAACCAAAGCCGAGCCCATGCGCGCGACGCTTAGGCGAGATGCGCCACGCGTGCCAGGCGCGCCACGCGCGCCAGGCACCCCTGGGGCCCGAGCGTGCCACGCACGCCTGGTGCGCCAGATTCGCCACGTGCTCCGAGTGTGCCAGGTGTGCCGCACACTCCAGCCGCGCCAGGTGCGCCATGTCCGGGGCACGTGCGGAGTGCGTCAGGTGCGCCTGCGCACGCGACAGCACACACATCGGGAACCATGTCGGTTTGCACCATCCTTGTCGGAAGCCAATGCCCATCGTTGTATTTGGTGGGCCTGCGCCCAGCAGGCCACGCGCCACCACCCCCGCGGTCCCTGTCAAAATCAATTTGACATTGATCGCGGGATGGCCGCGCATGATCCAGATGTAGCCGCGAGGTGCATGTTGTAATGTTTTTTTGTCAGGGGTGGTAGCCTTGCGCACGGCAGGGAATATGCTGGCACCCCCGCCGTGCCAGTCCAAAACAATGCAAAGTCTTTGCGGTCCTCACGAACATGACCGAAGAATTTATCCCAAAGTGTATTTCGCATTGTTTTTTGACAGGGATGGTGGGGAGGGGGCCACATCGGGTTGGCCGCGCATGCTCCAAATTTGGAGGCAGAGTGCGGCTTGTATGGTTTTTGACAGGGATGGTAGGGGGCGGGTCGGCATGGTGTCCTCATGGTTCCTGGTTGGACGCGAGTCGCCTGGGGGAGGGGGTGTATCTTAAAAAGGAACACTGATGAACTCCTCCCCGAAGGGGAAGGGAAACACATGGACGACAAAACGCGCTAGACCACCTGCGCCTTAAAGGGCTGGACCACCTGGGCCTTAAAGGGCAGGTGGGATTTGTTAAAGCGAATGTGCGCGGCGCTAACGCGAGAGCCAAGTTTTGGAAGCGGACCGCCCTCCAACCGTGAAGCTTCTGCATGGTTTTAAGACGAGTGTGCGCGGCGCTAAGGCGAGAGTCACATTTTGGAAGCGGCCCGCCCTCCATCCGCGAAGCTGCTGCCAATTCTTAAGCTGCAGGATCGTAAATGATGAGGACGTGTCAGGCGAAACACCTGGCCCGCCTTTTCGACCAGCTTCGGGGTGCGACAAGGACGAGTCATGTATTCGAAGGAAAAAGAGTGGAGGAGGAGAAGAGGAGAAGAGGAGGATACCCAGTGCGATCGAAATGGATACGGAAATAACGGGGGCATTTTGAAGAGGGTTCGCTGGTGGCGTCGCCGCAGAGCTTGTTTCCACTTGAGTCAAAACATTCCGTGTCCAACAGTGGCCCGTGTCGATGGTGGACAACATTTGCTGTTCATGATCGTGTTTATTCATCCGTACACATTTCAGGTAGGGAGGACGAGGAGGAGGAAGAAGAGGAGGAGGCGGAGGAGAGAGGCGGGGGAGAAGGCGGAAAAGGCGGAGTTGGTGGAGGAGGAGGAGGAGGAAGAAAACGAAGGAGAAACACCGGCGGAGAGGAAGAGGATGGGCGAGGCAGGACGCGGCGGGGTCAGGAGCAGATGGGGGCTGCGAGGGTGGTCCTCGGCGCCTCCCTGAGGGGGTTCTGCCCACGCAGAGGGCTACCGGGGGCCTCTGCGCGGACGAGGAGCTCCGCACTCTCAGACACCCGGCCGCTCCAAACTTTGTTTGTATGGAACCGAATTCGGCCCTCTGCTCAATCGTACACACTCGCTGGCCCCGGGCACGCGCGGCGGACGCAGGCGCGAGCAATCGCCGCGCCGCCCTATGGCTCGCGCGCGTCGCGGCGCGCCGCAGGCGATGTGCACAGGTCCTCGCGCCCCCTGCGCGCGGCTGGTGCCCGCCGCGGCGGCGCGCAGGAACGACAGTATATCAGGGTCCTGGGGCGCGCGCCCCGCGCTCGTGATTTGGGCGCGGGGTGCACGCCGCCGCGCTCTCCGGCCGCCGCCCCGCCTGTCGCTGCCCGCTCGCTGCTTGCTGGTGTGCCCTGCTGCGCGGCCCGCCGCTGCCTGCTTCCTCGTTGCGCGCTGCTGTGCCCAGCGGTGCCGCCTGCCTCTGCCTGTCTGCCCGTTGCGGGCCGCCTCACCCCGCGCTGCTGCCCGCCGCTGCCTGCCTGCTCCCGCGCACGCGCTGGCCGTCGCCGCGCCGCTTTCCTCCTCTTCGCGCAGGGTCCCCCCCCTTCCTCTCGCGCGCGGTGCCTCTGACATTGGCAGATTCCTTCCTCCCTCTTTCCCCTCCCGCAGGTGCCGATGTTCCCTCGTCATTTTGCTCAGATCGAAAAAGCCCGGATATTTTTCCACTACGCTGCTGGCGACTATGGGGCCGAAAGGGGTCCATTCCGGCATCTGCGCGCGCCGCTACCGAGCTAAGATCGCGCGAGTGACAGAATGCGGTCCAGCTAGACGCACGTCGAAGTCTACGCCGCTTCCGAAAGAGGGTGGTGAGCAGATGACCGAGGTCTGATTTGGCGCACTTCGGCGTCTACGCCGCATCCGAACGAGGGTCGCGAGCGAATGACCGAACGAAGTCCATTTAAACGCACTTCAACGTCTACGCCGCATCCGAACAAGGATCGCGAGCGACTGGCCGAACGAGGTCCGCTTTGGCGCATGTCGACGTCCACGCCCCATCCGAACGAGGATCGTGAGCGAATGGGCGAACGAGGTCCGATGAGACGCACTTCGGCGTCAGCGCCGCATCCGAACGAGGATAGCGAGCGAATGGCCGAACGAGGTCCGACTAGACGCCCTTCGGCGTTTACGCCGCCTCCGAACAAGGATCGCGAGCGAATGGCCGAACGAGGTCCGATTTGGCGCATGTCGACGTCCACGCCCCGTCCGAACGCCTCCGCTCATCGAGATCCTGGGGGCCACTACCCACACGACTCCCAAAAGCTACGTCTTATCGCTGGCTCCTATCCCCAAACTTCCGACTCCTGCTCCCGCTTTCCCCCCATCGCACCTCACACCTTCCCCGCCCACCCCAGCATGTGCAACCTTGTGCAGACCGACGAGCACCAGCATGTGCAGACTTGTGCCGGCTCCCACCCCCCTCCCCGCCCTCCCCTGCATGCGCAGACTTTTGCAGACTGACGGGCGCCAGCATTTGCAGACTTGTGCCGACTCCCACCCCATCCCCGCCCA